TTGCTTGATTATCATGTATAAAAAGTATTTGGACACAAGCTGTAGTAAATATGTACATCATATTACATCTGCTAAAATTCACCTTTACTCCAGTTACAAATCAAAAAGTCACGGCAAATGTGTTATTTTTTATATATATAATCCAGACACTTTTAAATGTGGCTAAAGTTTCTGACACTGCGCAAGTACATTTGGGACCTCATTTACATTGCAGTTACATATTGTCCTCTTATTTTCTCTTGCAGTGAAAAAGAAGTTTAAAATACTCGGACACAAGCGTACTGAGAGCTCAGATAGCAAAGTGTCTCTTGGCCCCTTTTCTCTTCTGAGCCGCTCTAAACAAAACATCCAGGAGCAGAATAACCTCTGTATCAACGGCAGCCACGTTTATGCAGAGGAACAAGAACCTAAAGCTATTTTTGGCTCCACACTTAGTCTGAACAGCTCAGGAAAGGGTTCGGTGGAGGATGTTCGCAAATACCACCAACGAAATACTTCTGACATGTCCATCGACTCACTTAAAGGCTTAAGTATCCCCTCATATAAGCCTGAAGTGCAAGACAAAGCCTCTCCTGTCCCACAGCGCCCTCTAGAGGATAGGAGTCATGTAGAGGTGGAGGAGAAAGGTAGGAAACCAGAAGGAAGAAACCTGCAAGAGATGCTGGACCAACAGGTAGAGCCAGAGCAGAGGAGACAGCAAGAACGAGAGAGAAAACTAGAGGAAGAGAGGAAAAGCAGGCTTGAAGAGCAGGAGAGGAAGCACAAGGTAGAGGAAGAGGTGCAGCGAGCTGAGGAGCAGCGGCACCAGGAGGAGTCCAGAGTAACCGAACGGCTCTCCTCTCTCTTTGGCATTGGAAAGAAGAAGGAGGAGAAGAGAGAGCAAGCTATGAATGAACCCAAACGTCTAGATGTGCCGTCCTCCACAAACCCGTTTGAAGACATTCCCCTCACCCCGGATACTCCATCCTCTATCCCAGAAGAGAGGTCCACGGACCCACGGAGGGGCGTCAGGACCACCCTCACCCCGACGCCACCCGCCAGTGCTTTCCCCAGTCGCACAGCAAAAGTGTCCGCGGTCAAACCAAGGTGAGTGCTCATATGCTTGAATAACTTCCTCCATCCATGTATCTTAACAATCTCTGGAAGATTGTGTATTATTCTTGGCTGGGCGATTCATTGCATATTCACTATATTATTCACTGATTTTGTTAGCAATGCTAAGCAATGTTGTGATGATTTTAATCCACAATTAATTGACCAATTGAGCATATTAGACACAGGTCCTGTTTGGTAAACCCT